CTCCCTGTAGCCCCAGCTGTCCTGGAGCTCACTATGTAGACCAGGCTGGTCTTGAACTCACAGAGATCTGCCTGCCTCTGCCTCCCAAGTGCTGGGATTAAAGGCATGCATCATCACGCCCAGCTTCATGGTGGAACTTTAATGGATGAGAAGCTGCCTCTGATAAATGAGCAAAGATAGTGGTTTATTGAGATGAAATCTATTATAAAGATGCTGTGAACATTGATGAAGCGACACAAAGAATTCAGATTATGTAGTCAGAGTAGATAAAGCAGCAGCATGGTTTGAGAGGATCCACTGTAATTTTAGTTTTCTTTCTTTGGTTTTTGAGATAAGGTCATGCTGTGTCATCAGGCTGACCTCACACTCACTGTATAGCTCACTAGCTTCACATTCTCCATCCTCCTTCTTCAACTTCCTTCAGTGCTGTGGTCACGGGTGGGACACCCAGGCCCAGCTTTCATTCCAATTGTAGTAGTTCTGCTGTGGATAAAATACAGTCCAACATCATCCATCACATGCTAAAGAAAAAGCTTTGATGAACAGAGTGAATCAGTGTAGTGAACTTTATTATTGGTATTTCAAGAAACTGTTACCAGTGTTCAGCAGTCACTAGTTTGATCAGTCAGTAGCCATCAACATCAAGGCAAGACCTTCATCAGAGATTATGTGTCACTTGCTGAAAGCTTAGATGATTATTAGCATTTTTAGCAATAATGTATTTTTTAATTAATGTATTTTAGATATAATGCTATTTTATACCACATAGTGTAAATATAACAACACTGAGAAATTTAAAAACTCAAATGATGTGCTTTATTGCAGTGTTTCTTTATTGTGGTGATCTAGATACAAACCAGTATTATCTCCAAGGTGTCCTGTATTCCTTCTAATACATGGACATGGGCTATCTTCCTACATTCTCTTGTGTCTTAATTTCTTTCTACAATATTTTGCAATTTTCAGTGTACAAGTTTTTCCTACCTGCTTGATTAAATTTCCTAGCTATTTTGCTGCATTTTAATTTATTTTGTGTTAGTGTGTGTAAGCATGCCTGTGGAGGTTAATGGACAGAATGTAGGAGTCAGTGCTCTCTACCACGTGGGTCCCAGGGGTTGAATTCAGGTTGTCAAGTGCCTTTACCATCTTGGGCCATCTTGCTGGCCCAAAAGATAGAATATGTATTGTTCAGATTAAGTCTTCAGTGTAGGGAAGTGCAGGAGACTTTGATTTACTAAAGGAGTTTATCTACCAAATGAAATTGGGGTGTTATTACTCAAGATAGTCAGATGGATGCTGAAAAGCCCAAACCAAAACAGAAGCTACCATTTGTTGCAAAGCCCTGTTGTTATACCAGGACTAGAATCTAAAAGTTTTATTTCTTTTTAAAGGATTTAGTCTTATTTAAGAATGATATACTAAAAAGCTGATTTAAAGCTCTCTGAGTGAACAAGTTATTAATGGAGGTCTTTGCTAACCAAATGATAAGATGACAGACACCTCTTTCATTGGACAGCCCCCACATATTTTCATTTTCACGTTGCCATTTGGAGTCCCGTCAGTTTCTATAGAGAAAAACCTCTCCTATTTCTGCTTGGGAGTTTAAATGTAGCAGCATATCTGCCTGTTTAGACTTTTCCTCACCTCTGCTGTTTTCAATAGAGGACTTAATCTCTTCTCAGATATTTGGTGTGCTCTGAATTCAGAGCCTCTTTAGTCATTTTTCTGACTGTTTGAAGTTGTCAACAGCCTGTCCTAGTTTTATTTCTGTTGCTGTGATAAAATAACCTGACAGAAAGAAACATAGGGAATAAAGGGGTTTATTTTGGCTTATGGTTCCAGGTTACAGCCTATCATTGTGGGGAAGTCAAGACAGGAACTTCAGAAAGTTAGTCACATCACACCCTTAGTCAAGAGCAGAGAGAAGTAAATGCATGCATGTTCACTCAAGTGTGCTCAGCTCCGTTTCTCCATACCTGCACAGTTCAGGACCTCTGCTTAGGGAATGGTGCTGCCTACTGTAGACTGTGTCTTCAGACATCAGTTAACTCAATTAAGACAATTCCCCACAGGCCAATGAGACAACTCCTCATTGAGATTCTTTCCAGGTGATTCTAGGTTCTGTCAATTTAACAATTAAAGCTAGGGCCTGGTGTGGTGCCACGTGCCTTTAATCCCAGCACTTGGGAGGCAGATACAGGCAGATCTCTGTGAGTTCAAGGCTATCATGGTCTACATAGTGAGTTCCAGGCCAGCTGGGGCTACAGGGAAACCCTGTCTCAAAAAAAAACCAACAAAAAAACCCCCAAAATAAATAAAAAACAAAGCTAAACATCACACTTGAGACAAGGTCTCCCTGTAGTACCAGCTAGCCTGGAACTCACTATGTAGACCAGGCTGGCCTTGAACTCACAGAGATCTGCCTGCCTTTGCCTCTCAAGTGCTGAGACTAAAGGCGTGTGCTACCACGCCCAGTCCAGCCCAGCAATCACTTTTAAACCATAGTTTTCCATTCCTTGTTCCAAAAGTCTGATTTTTTTCCCCCATAATTAAAGTACAGAACAACTTAAAAAGTCTAAAGTCTCAGCTGTGGGCACCAATAAAATTAAACTCTGAACCTATGATGGCACAGAGTAGCATTCTCCTTCCAAAAGGGAAGACTTGGGCCATCACAAGGAACAGTCAGATCAAAACAAAACCAAAATCTAACAGGCCAAATACCAGATCTTGTAGCTTGATGTTAAACATCTGGAACTTGTCTTTTGAGCTTCTAAGGGATTGGGTAGCCCCACTCTCCAACACTGACACCTGCAGCATTCACAGCTTCATCAGTGTGACTGGGGATAGCTCCTCCAAACCTTCGGTTTTCAAAGGGACTTATTGGTGGAGCCAGGAGAGGACAAGGGGCATAATGAGAAGAAGCAGGAAGACTCTTGGCAGGCAGTCCAGGAACCTGTGGGTGGATACTGGAAGAGAGAAGGGGAGGGGCCAGAGCCCTTTGAGGGAATCTTGGTGTATTAACTTTCTGTTGTTGTGATAAAATACTGACCAAAGCCAACCTGGTGATGAAAGGATTTATTTCATTTTACAACTTATAGCCTATCATTGGAGGGAAACTAAGGCAGGAACCTGAGCTGAAGCAGAGGCCACAGAGGAAGGCTGCTCACAGGCTTGCCCCCCTGGCTTAATCAGTTACCTTTCTTATATGGCCCAGGCCCACCTGTCCAGGGATGGTATTTGTGCACAGCGGGCTAGGCCCTTAACATCAACTAGCAATCAAGAAAATGCCCCACAGACATGTGCACAGGCCAGTCTGAGGGAGGAAATTCTCAATTGAGGATCCTTCTTCCCATGTGATTCTAGTCTGTGTCAAGTTGACAAAAGCCAACCGGTGCAGTGAACTAATAACTGCAACGCCAGCTGTTCAACACTTGAGAGTTTATTTTTCACCTTTTCATATCTGTAACTTTTGTTAAGACTGAAAAATCTGTCTTATTTTTATATTCATTCTATTAATAGGCTAATTATTTAATCTCTCTGTATGCACCCAGTGTCTTTTTTTTTGTCTTGTTTGAGACAGGGTCTCCCTGTAGCTATAGTGGGGCTGGCCTCTCCACTATGTAGACCATGCTTGGCCTTGAACTCACAGAGATCCGCCTGCCTCTGCCTCCCAAGTGCTGGGATTAAAGGCATGTGCCATCACACCTGGCATACCCAGTGTCTTAAACTATTGCTTCATTCCTCCTGCTACTCATCACCTAATACCTGAATTGAAAACCCTTTTCATGCCTGTCCAGGATGACCCTACTGCATCAAATTGCCTACCTCTCTGAGTATTGTGTTCTGATTATTTACTTATTTATTTTGATGCTGATCAAGACCCAGGGCCTTTCACATGACAAACACACACTCTGTCACTTTCCTACCAGCCTGGAGTATTGTATTGTCATTGGCCTGGTTTCCATGGAGTATCACCTCCTAGCTGTACCATAGTCTTTTTTAATACACGTCAGTACCATGCTAGGCTGCCTGTGTGAGGACACCTTCCTTACTCTGCTCAAGTTCTGGGATCTGGTTTTGTGCTTGTATGTGGACATGTATGTGGTCCCTAAGTCTTGACTATTCAACTTCATATTGCCCAGTCTCACTTAATGGCCTTTTCTGGGTATATAATTAAAAGATACAAAATGGTGGTTTGATTTTCCCATCTTGATATACACAGTGAAGTGATTACTACAGTTGTAAATTGCTGTGTATCATGCTCTATAGTGATTTTACTGATTTTGTTTTTTGTGTGTGTGGGAGAGGAGTTAAGAATACCTAAAATTGCCAGGTGTGGTGGCATAAACTTTTAATCCCAGCACTTGGGAGGCAGAGGCAGGTGGATCTCTGAGTTTGAGGCCAGCCTACATAGTGGTGTCCAGGCCACCGTTGTTTGCAAGGAGCCCCTGTCTCAAAAAAAAAAAAAAAAAAAAAAAAAACCCACAAAAAAACAAAACTAAAATCGAGCTGGATGGGGTGGCACACACCTTTAATCTCAGCACTCAGGAAGCAGAAACAGGCAGATCTCTGTGAATTCAAGGCTAGGCTAGTCTACATAGCAAGTTCCAAGACCAGCTAGGGCTACAGGGAGACCCTGTCGCAGAAAAAGAATACCTGAGACCTGCTATCTTGTCGAATCTTAGAACTCTCATTTGGCACATTAGTCACTTTGGCCTTTGGAATGAATTACCTATGGGGCTACACTTGTATTTTGAAAGACAGTGAAATTTTGCTGAATTAAAAGTATTTTATAAGGAAGAATAAAACATATATAGCTTTAAATTTTTGCTTTTTAGGCAACTATTGAGTTTCAAAAGAACTCCTTTAACTAATCTTAAATATAACAATTTGATTGGCAGTTATTTGATTGGCACTTTGGTTAATGAGATGTTCCTGGGTGAGGAAATTAGAAAATAACAGTAATTTTATATGCAAAATAATATTAATTTCTCTTCTAGCTCTCCCTCCAAAGCCACCTAAGCCAATGACTTCAGCAGTTACAAATGGAATGAAAGAGGGTTCCGTTACCCTTCAAGATGCAGAATGGTACTGGGGTGATATTTCCAGGTAACAAAAATGCTACCATAAATTAATACAGCTTTTTTGAAAATAATTTTTTGAGAATTAGTAGTTAAAAGTAAACATTTTAATGCCCTACTGGTTGTCATTTAAAGATTACCATTTAAAATACTGTGTGGAAACCTTTCAAAAGTATCTTTAGGGGTTGGCAAGATGGCTCAGAGGTTAAGGGTGCCTGCCACCAAGCCTGATGACCTAAATTCAATTGCTTGGATCTGCATGGTGGAAAGAATCAACTCCTGAAAGCTGTCCTCTCACATCCACACATGCACTGTAGCATGTGCACGTGTCCACATATGTGCAAACATATAATAAATAAAAGTTTTTAAGTGTCTTTAAAAAAATATTTTTTTTTACATTTTCTGTATGAGTGTTTTGCCTTCATATATTAAGTGTACCTGTGTCGTGCAATGCCTGTGAAGGCCAGCAAGGGCATCAGATCCCCTGGTAGTGGAGTCCTGCCATGCTGGGAACCAGATCCAGGTCCTCTGGAAGAGCATTCAGTGCTCTTAACCACTGCGCCATCTCTCCAGCCCTGTGTCTTTAATTTTTTCCTCCTTAGGACAAAATGACAAGGAAATCTTTGAGTTATGGCTGTTGTTATACTTTTAATACTGTATCAAGTATGACTTTCTGAATAAACAAAGCTTATACATTTAGAATAGTTGCAGGTAATTTAGAATAAAAGATACTTTCAAGGTACTTAAATTCCATTTACCTTTCTTTGTAGACTAGCAAGGCTCATTTCCGGAGTAGCTGAGATTGCAAGCCTGGACCATTTTCCTTTCTGATTTTCTCCCTAAGGCACTGGCTCCAAAATTTTTGCATGCACAAAAGTCATTTGAGCTAGAGCCCAAGTGTCTGCCGTTAGCCACCTCCGTAGGTGGTTTTATTTTTTTGAGACAGGGTATTGCTATATAGTTAAGACTGACCTAGAATCACTATATAGTCTAGGCTGGCCTCAACTCTTGATCTTCTTCCCTGAGCCTTTTTCGTTCTAGAATTATAGAAGTGTATACGTGACACTATATCCATCATTAAGTGATTTTGATGTATTTTCTTTATGTAGCTCACTTCCAGAAATAGGAATTTGCCTTTTTTGGGTAAATCATAAATTTGGATAGTTTGAACATAGAGAGGAAATATTTGTATATACATACATTTTTTAAAAATTGAATATTACATCTTTATATTTTTCTCATTATAATTTAATGGATCTCTAATTCTTTGTTGTTTGTTTTTTGGCTTGAAACTTGCTCTGTAGACCATGCTGGCTTTGACTGGCAGTCCTATCTCAGCCTCCTGAGTGATGAAATTATAGGCTTGCACAACCATGCCTGATACATCTATTTTTTTTCTTAAAAAAATCCCTAACCATTTATGCCAAATCAGGTTCCAATTTGACACTATATTCCTTAATACCCTAGTCCTTCCCTCTCTTGTCTTCTTTCCTACTGCCAAATGGTGATCATTTCACTTCTTTTTACCCATACAGTTTTAACTATTTTAAGTGTGTAGTTCATCGGTATTTAGTACATTCACTTTGTTATGCAACATCATTATCCAGAAAATTTGCATCTTTTCTACTGAAACTGTACCTATTAAACTCCTTCCCCTCCTTTAGCCCCTTCTAATCAGTCTTCTACTTTCTATGAATTAATTCGGTATGTAATGTCCCATTATATGTATATATCATATTTTGCTTATCCAATCATCTGAATAAGGATGGATTTGATGGGGCATTTGAATTACTCCTTCTTTTAGCCAGGTGTGGTGGCTCACACCTTTAATCCCAACACTCAGGAGGCAGAGGCAGGCGGATCTCTGAGTTCCAGGCCAGCCTGGTCTACATAGGGAGTTCCAGGCCAGCTGGGGCTACAGGGAGACCCTGTCTCAAAAAGACCAAAAAAAAAAAGAGATTATTCCTTCTTTTCAGCTTTTGCATTATGGTGAATAAAGCTGATACAAATATTGGCTATTAATATCTATTCGAGTGCTTGCTTTTGCTAATTTTGGATATAGACCTAGAATTAGAATTGCTAGATCATTTGTTAATTCTGTGTTTAGTTTTTGAAGAGGACTTAATATATTTTATATAAAAATACAGTAGACCTTTTTCTTTTGGTCTGAGACTGGGTCTCCCTGTAGTCCCAGTTGACCTGGACTCACAATGTAGACCAGGCTGTCCTTGATCTCACAGAGACCCGCCTGCCTCTGTCTCCTGAGTGTTGGGATTAAAGGTGTGGGCCACGAGACCTGGCCTAGACCATTTTTTAGTATTATACAATAAAAGAATTGAAAAATATTTAAATGGCATTTAAACTGTACCTTAAAATCATATTCTACTCTAGGGCCTCTAATTCTAGGGCCTTTTGTCCTGCTTTTTCATTGAATGTTCAGTTTTCCTTAAATTCCTAAAGTACAGAAGGAGTTTATTGTTAGTATTAATTCAAATTAGAGAACATCGTATTGGAAGGTTGTAAACTTAGGAGAATTTTCCCCTCTGTTCAGGAACAGCTGGCACTGTTGCTTAAAATATAACCTTCTTTCTAAATAGCTATGGGTTTTTCTTGAAACTCTGCAAGTTTAGACTTGCCTAAGAAAGCCTGGAATGCTAATAGAAACACATATGCAAATACAGACTATTGAAATCTGGAAGAATTAAACATCAAATAGCCTTTCCTTAGATTACAAATACTAAAAATCACAACAGAAAGAGCTCATCTATGGGGAAGAACCAGGTAACCATTGAAGACTTCCAGTATTCTTTAACCTTCCAATTAGTCTTGGTAGTTATATATATAATATATATATATAAATTTTTAATTTTTTAAGTTAAAAAATGTTTTTGGTCTTTTTGATACAGGGTCTCCCTATAGCCCCAGCTGGCCTTAAACTCACAGGGATCCTCCTGCCTCTGCCTGCAGAGTGCTGGGATTATAGGCGTGTGCCTATAATCAATGCTTAAGTTTTTAAAAAATGCTTCCTATAATTCTGTTTCTTAGGGAAGAGGTAAATGACAAATTACGGGACATGCCGGATGGTACCTTCTTAGTCAGAGATGCCTCAACAAAAATGCAGGGAGATTATACTTTGACTTTAAGGTAAGTACTTTTTAGCCTTTGGCTAGTGCCCTCCTAACATTATTGTAGTTCTGGATATATAGAAAGTTCTGTATTTTATTTAATTCTTTATATATTTTCCCATGCTTTATTTAATCTAGATATGTAATTTTCAGTTTGACTAACATTTAAATTTTTAATGTTTTTGGTTTCTTGAGACAGTATTTTACTGTGTAGCCCTGACTGACCTGGAAGTTGCTATGTAGATCAGGCTGTTATGGACCTCATAGACTTCCTGCCTCTGCCTCCCAAGTTCTAGCATTGAAGGTGTATGCCACCATGGCTTGCCTAACATTTTAATTTTAAAATCATTTTCTGTACATCAAATATTTAAACATCTTCTATAAAGACTTCACTTATTTTTATGTAGAAGTAAAATAAAAAGGCTAAAATCCCTAATGATCTCATTAATGAAGTAAAAGTCATGGGCATGGCCTAAGTTTATTAGTGAACCTAACCCTCTAAAACCTCTATTTTTTTCCCTTATGTGGACTTTAGGAAGTAGAACTCAACATAATTTTGCAGATGAGGATATTTGGAAGGCAAAGCAGTTCTGTCTGTTTTGGGCCTTCCATGTGGGGCATATTAGTGTTTCATAATTTTATACTTATATAGATGGAACATATATTAACAGCATGTTAAGAAGGGCTGGATAGTTGCCCAGCAGTTAAGAACAATGGCTGTTCTTGCAGAGGACTCCAGACATGGCTGCTAACAACTCCAGTTCCAGGAGAATCTTCTGACCTCCAAGGGCACTGCATGACACCGGTGCATTTATATACATGCAGGCAATACACTCATACACAAAAATGAAATTAATAAATAAAATATTTTTTGAAAGCATGTTAAGAAAACTTCAATAGATATTTCCACATTTAATTTTTTATTAATTAAATTTTTTTATGTATATGAGTGTTCCACCTATATATATGAGAGTGCACCTGTCATGCAATACTTGAGGAGGCCAGAAGTTATGGATGGTTGTTAGCTACCATGTGGTGCTGGGATCTGAACCTGGGTGCTCTCTCTGGAAGAGCAGCCAGTGCTCTAAAACACTGAGCTATCATCTTTTCAGCCCCCAAGATATTTCCACATTTATTTTTAATGATTAAAATCACCTAATTCCCGCCGGTGTGGTGGCGAATGCCTTTAATCCCAGCACTTGGGAGGCAGAGGCAGGTGGACCTCTGTGAGTTCGAGGCCAGCCTGGTCTACATAGTGAGTTCCAGGTTATTTTGATATATCACAGTGAAAGATTTATCGTCCTCTTTTTTTTTTTTTTTTTTTTTTTTTTTAAAAAAAAAAAAAAAAAAAAAAAAAAAAAAAAACCCCAAAGAACCACCTAATTCCAATAAAATTTTGGTTTGTATAATATTGTTGATTCATTCATTCACCCGTTCATTAGAGGCTTCATACCTACCAGGCAAGCATTCTACCACTACAGTACTAGCCATTTTTTTCTTTTGAGACAGGGTCTCCTTATGTAGTCTGGGATGGATTCAAATTCAAAGAGATCTGCTTGCCTCTGTCTCCCAAGTGTTGGCATTAAAGATTCAGGCCACCAAGTATTCCCTCCCCCCACCCCCTTTGAGACAGGGCTATTCTATGTTATCCAGCCCAAACTCTTTCTTTTTTGTTTTTTTTTTGAGACAGGGTTTCCCTCAAGCCCCAGTTGACCTGGAACTTACTGTGTAGACCAGGCTTGCCTTGATCTCACAGAGATCTGTCTACCTCTTGGATTAAACGTGTGTGCCACTATACCCAGGCAGCTCCAACTCTTGAACTAAAGTACTTCTCTTGCCTTAGGCTCCCAAATAGCTGCAATTCTGGATACATACCACCATGATGGATTATGTGTGGGTACACATGTCCCAAATAGCTGCAATTCTGGATACATACCACCATGATGGATTATGTGTGGGTACACATGTCCCAACAAACAAGTGGAGGCTAGAGGACAACTTGTTTAAGATTAAAGCAGCCAGGCGTGGTGGCGCACGGCTCTAATAATCCCAGCATTTGGGAGGCAGAGGCAGGTGGATCTTTGTGAGTTTGAGGCCAGCCTGGTCTACATAGTGAGTTCCAGGCCAGCTGGGGCTACAAGGAAGCCCTGTCTCAAAAATCCAAAAAAAAAAAAAAAAAGAGGATTAAAGCATGAAAGAAAAACATAATTAAAAACTTATAATTCCAAGATGGGCATGGTGGTGAAGCCCTTTAATCCCAGAACTCAGGAGGCAGAGGCAGATAGGTCTCTGAGTTAGAGTTCGAGACCAGTCTGTTCTATAGGGAGACCCTGTCTCAAAAAATAGTCAAGGGGCTGGAGAGATGGCTCAGCGATTAAGAGTACTGACTGCTCTTGCAGAGGACTCAGGTTCGATTCCTAGCACCCACATGGTGGCTATGAACCGTCCTTAACTCCAATTACAGGGGAATCCGAAGCCTTCTTCTGATTTCTGTGGCATTGCACGATACAGATGCACTCACATACATACAGGCAATACACTCATACACATAAAATTTAAAAACAAAACAGCCAAAAAACAAAATTAAAACTTTGGCTTTGTGAATAGAGAGCCTCTGAAACTTCAGCATTTCTGCCTTCATTGAAGTCATCTAAATTAAATTTCAACATTTGGAAATTCAATTCTCTACCTGTTGTTTGCCTGTACTCAGGCAGTTGATTGTGAAGGAGAAAACAAAACTACACGTTTTGTCTCATGAGAGACCATAATGTGTGGTCTCACATTAAATTCTTCAGTACTGGGCTGGAGAGAGCTCAGTGGTCAAGAATGTATACTACTCTTGCAGAGGATATGAGGTTGGCTCCCAGGACTCATGTTGGGTGGCTCAAAGCACTTGTAACTCCAGCTCCAGGGGATCTGACACCCTCTTCTGGCCTCTGTGGACACTACATTCATGTACACACAATTAAAAAATAACAAAAATCAGAGGCAGGCGTGGTGGCGCACGCCTTTAGTCCCAGCACTTGGGAAGCAGAGGCAGGCAGATCTGTGTGAGTTCAAGCCTGGTCTACATAGTGAGTTCCAGGCCAGCTGGGGTTACAGGGAGACCTGTCTCAAAAAGACCAAAAATAAACAAACAAAAAAAGAAAACCCAAAATCTTAAAAAAAATTATCTTACCTACTGGCCTTAAGTGGGCCTATAGTACCACCCAGCTTGATTTTTGCTTTTCCAAATCCTCCCACTTTCCTAGATGATAATTTTATATGTTCCTTTACATGTTGTTCTACTTCAGATCAGAAATTCTATTTCCTGTTTCACTGAGAATATTTACACAGAAAAGAATGTCCTCATCGCTGATTCTGATAATCATCAGTCTCTGCCTAGCAGGGTGAATCCTCTTCCTTTCTCTGTTCTCGTGAATGACTTTATATCCTTGTTCAGGGTCTACATCTTTGTTTATAGACTGGTTCTTATCTCAGCTATCCCTCTAATCCACCAATGAACATCACTCTAAGAATTATCTTGTTTTTTGTTTTGTTTTGTTTTTGAGACAGGGTCTCACTAGGTAGTCCTGTAGAGCAGACTGGCCTTGAACTCACAGAGATTTGGCTGCTCTTGCAGAGGTTCAAATCCTAGTACTCACATGGTGGCTAACAGCCAGCCATCCATAACTCCAGTTATAGGGGATCTGATACCCTCCTCTGACCTCCATGAGCATTGCATGACACAGGTGCACTTACATACATAAAAACATTTTTAAAAAGTTAAAGTCTTGCTGGGAGTGGTAGCACACACCTGTAGTCCCAGCACTTGGGAGGCAGAGGCTGGCGGATCTCTGTGAGTTCAAGGCCAGCCTGGTCTACATAGTGAGTTCCAGGACAGCTTGGGCTACAGGGAGACCCTGTCTCAAAAAGACCAA